GACTGGGGTAATCGGGATGGGTGTGTCAGAGGTGGTGCGGTTGGCGCAGGATAGAGCAGGGTTTAGAGCTCTTGTGCATAGGGTCGCTATGAGTCGGAAACGACTCGACAGCATATAACAACAACAACAACAACAGTGTTTCCTTCTTCTGTTCAGACAATTGTGTCTTGCAATATGTATAGATTTTAATATAATTGAATGTGAAAACTATCAAACAGTATCATTAATGTCACATGGAAATAAAATCTTCCTAAAGATTATTAAAAAATGGCTTGAAGAGTACATTGACAGAGAACTGTCAAAAATTCAAGCTGGCTTCAGAAGAGGCTATGACCTGAAAGATATCATTGCTGATGTCAGATGGATCTTGGCTGAAAGACAAGACCATCAGAAAGACACTTATTTTTTATTTATTCAGCAAAGGTATTTTTCTGTGTGAATCATAACAAATTATGGTGAGCATTAAGAAGAATGGGAATCCCAGAATGGGATGGGAATGGGAATCCCCAATTTTACAGTGCATGTAAAATTTATAGCCACTGAAATCCTATGGAACTGTTCTACTTTGTCTTGTAGAGTCACTATGAATCAGAATTCACTTTATGCCAACAGTTCTTTGTTTTAAAACAACATTTTGAAGGTAGAAACAAGTGTTTAGAAAGATGACTATTAACTCACCTAAGGTCCAGCTATTGTTGTATACCATCAAGTCCAATTGACTGACCTCTGGTGGATTTTCATCACACAAGAGGAGATTGCCCAACCTTGTCCCTTGGAGCAGCTGGTGGGATTTGAACCATCTGCCTTCAGTGCAGCTTCTTGCCACTAGGCCACCAGAGCTCCCTATTTAATGTTAATAAGAAGTGAAGTCTGATTGAAAGTTTGTGTGAATCCCTGTCTTTTCCTCCTAACTGGGTCTCTGGTGGCTCAGTGGTAGAGGTCTTGCCTTCCATGCTTAATTTTATTCATAGCAGTGTTCTTTTGTGCACAAAACATAGCTCTTTTTGCTATGATGCTTAAAGCTTTCAGTTGAACTTCCATATTGCTACTAGGAAGAAAGAACTGGCAATCTACTTCTGAACCCCCCAACCCCCATGAAAACCTTGTGAATGACAATGGTCTTACTATATCCAATCCTGGGGATTCCGTTGCAGGACCAGCTAGCATTTGATTTTATTGTATGTGGAGCATCCATGAGTTAGAGTTGGCTCAAGGGGCAGCTAACAACACTTCTAACACCACTACCACAGTGATGTCACTCCCTCCAGGACCTCCCAATCTGTCTTCACAGCATCATCTGCCCTGTCTCCTCACCTTCAACACTCTGCACAATGTGCAGGTCTTCTGAATCACTATAAGTCTTAGCTCTGAAGGAAAATCTTTCTAAAGACCTATATATATATATTGACACTTTTCCTCCACTACTCACTCATTATAAAGTTGAAACTTGGTGCCACAGAATCAACCTTTATAGGGAGTTGTACTGCCAACCCAAAGATGGATGGTTTGAATCCTCCAGCTCCTCTGTGGGAGAAAGATAGACAACCTCCTCTCATACAATTTACAGCCTCTGAAACCCACTGGAGTCTCAGCTTGGTCTGAATAAGCAGATATTTCTTGAAGAGAGTGCTCAGTGAGAATGTATTTCCTGACAACTTCTTTGGAATTCCCACATATTCCTGGAACTCAGGGTCTGGAGGGGCTCCAGCTTTCTCCTTATATTTGTCTTTGGACATGCTATTCAGCCTTGAGCCTATTTGGGTTCAAGCACTGGGCTAAGTAGCGAGGAGACTGAACCAAAGTAGTTGGAGTTTCTGCCCTCCTGTAGCCTGTTCTTGTGAATCAACAGGACAAACAATACTTGTGTCACCTCAATTAAGCATGTCTGCAAATTTCTTCAGGATTTCAAGCTATGCAGATGGATTAAATTCTGTTTTCTTGGCAACCCCTTTGTTTTTCCATTTTACTAACCTTTCTATATACTTGTTAAAGCTTGTTTTCAACTCCAGCTTTTCTCACCGACAGAAGGAGCACTGTTTAGGGACAAACTCAGCTGAATTTCCCTTAGATTTTAGTTCTTCTCAAAACTTGACTCTATAGGACTGCATTCAAGAGGTTTAGGCTCAAATTACCACTCTGCCACTTAGTTGTGTTCTTGGAAAATTCTCTGTCTCCCTGAGCCTCTCAATTATTTAATCTGTGAAATGGGGATAATAATACTTCATTTGCAGAGTTGCTGTGAAGAGTAGATTAAAACAAAATCATTCTCTCCCAGACCCATCCTGTCCTTGACCAGAGGATCCTTCCTGAGCTCCTGGTAGACAGGCCTCTGTGCTGTGTGTGGGAAGGATGTCAATCACAAAGCACTCTGCGCGTCAACAGTCTCTACATGCACAGTCCAGGGATGTTTATTTGGGTGATCATGCTGTCCTTCCATCAATAGTTACCCAAATGTAACCAGAAGATAAACCCAAACTACTATCATCAATTGAATTGCATGTACCCAAATACATACTATTTGTTAATGTTCTCCACTTGTGGTGTCCCTGTTGTAGCAACACTAGACAACTCACAACTGTGGTTTGTGAACTGCCTCATGTGACTCCAGTGTAGAATAAAAGGACAAACCATAGTGGCCACCAGCATTCCCAAAGACCTCCCATAGGTAAGGTACTCTCTCACTGAGGGCCATAGAGAAAAAAATCATTCTCTATACTGTGAGAAACAAGTTTTCTCCTCTCGGGTAAAAACTGGAAGCCACTCATGGAGGCTAATCAGCAAGATTAATGAGGTGGGAGGGCCTCCTGGAGCTGACCAGAGCTGCCCTTCCCTCCCTTCACCAGCCCCACCTATCCCAGGTGTCTGCCCCAGTCATTCTGTAATTAACTGCTGAAGCTTCCAAACGGAAGACGTGCTACCTAAGAGGCGGCAGAGCAAGTGGCATTCTGGCATCAGCAGAGGCTGTGTTCTTTCCACAGGCACAAAGACCTTACAGCCAGACAGCTGGAGGGAATTTGAGTGAGAATGAGCCCAGCTGGCAGCAAAATCATCCTGGAGCTGCAGGATGTGGGAGCGCAGGGCCACAGCAACAGCGCCTCCCAGGTGAGTGTCCATGATCTCTACTCTGAGGCCAATTACAGGGACACCAAGTGCTTTTCTTGCTCTCTTGTTGTGTGTGCAGCAGCATTATTGCAATACAGTGATGTTTTAGTGCCACTTGCTAAGCCTAGCTGCTCTTGGGTTGACAAACCTGAAAAGTCTCTTTTACTTGCCTTGTTTTGATCCTGCCTTTCCTGTCTCTTGCAAACATGACTGGTTCACCTTTCTGCCTTTGTTTCAGGCTCATGGTGGGGTGCAATGTTCCCCCGGGCAGAATCTATAACTTCTGAACAAGGAACTAGGAAGAGGGAAGAGTGTTTGTTAGGGAGAGACCTGGTCCCAAATGGAGGTAGAATGTCTGTCGAGCTTCCTGGCACCTAATCCCTTTCTGACTGTTTCTGAAAAGGGCCCCATGGCAACCTAATTATGCAAACTGTCCTCAACCAAAACTCATTGAGTGATTAATGGTGTTCAGTGCAAGGTTGGTGCCAAGGAGCAGTAAGGAGACATGATATTGGAAAACCCCAGGGCTGTTGTGAGGGGGTTGGGTATTTTCAGGGATATCACCCCGTGTTTGCATATGGGCACATTAAAGTGGATATTGAGGCCGCATAAACAGGTGCCCCAAACCTGTTGGGCTTCAGAGTCACTGAGGGACAAACAAAACTTTAAAACACCAGCAAAGGAAGGGGTGAGGAAGATCCACCAGGCCCTGCCTCTCCACTCAGTGACTATAACTTCTCTGAGACAAATTTGAGCGAAAACAGAGGGAACATAGGGCTCCCCAGCTCACACTAAGAGACTGAAATGGAGAAGAAGAAGGCATCAAGCACAGGGCCCAGTGTCACTCAGAAAAATGAAAGGACAGAAAGGGATAAAGAGTCCACATGAGCATGAAGCAAAGTGGGGGGCATGTGGAGCAGAATTTAAGTTCTCATGGAAGCAAGATTTTCTGGAGCTGTTGAGAAATAATGAAGACCTGGAATGACTGTCCTAATGCAGACTTTAAGCCAAAATTGCCTCTTGGAGCCTTTGAGCAAAATGAACTAACTAAATAAAGTAATGAAAGCCAAAAGAGAGGAGAGCTACAAGGTCAGCAACAAAGACTGGAGGAGAAGCCAATAGGCCAAGGACCATAGGCCACTGACTCTGCCAACTAAAAGGTTAGTCATGAGCTCAGGATGAGAGTGGTTTTTGCTGTGGATGAGAGTGAAGGTATGGAAGAAAAATGAGAGCAAAACTAATTTTCCTCTGACCAAAAGAAGAAGGCAGGAGAGAGGCTTAGAGGAGGCAAGATTGTCAGCGGAGCGGTCTTCCTATTGTAAATAAATGTTGTGATGTGCCATTGAGTGAGAACCAACTCAGTTGACCCTCCAGTAGGTTTTCAGAGGCTATCAATCTCACAAGAGGAGATTGCCCATTTTTCTCCCTTGGAACAGCTGGTGCATTCTGACTGCGACTGCATGCCTTTGGGTTGACAGTGCAACTCTTTACCACTAGGCCACCTTTGTTTTGTTGTTATATACCATTGAGTCAGAATCTACCTGTAACTGACCCTCCAGTGAAAACATACATAAATTATGCATTAAAATGCATATAAATCCTCAAGTGCTTCCAAGGCTATAAATCTTCAGTGAAGCAATCAGCCTCATCATTCTTTCATGGAGTAACTCATGATTTGGAAACACTGGTCTTCCTGGTTAGCTGTCAAATTCTTTAGCCAATGCACCACCGGAGCACCTCATTAATAATTACAGTACACTACAGTAATGTAAATGTTACTGTGAAACCTACAGAAAAACATTCAAACCAGTAATCCAATTGACCATAAAATGAGCATTTGGAGCTGCTGCTCATTGCCTGGAAGGCCCTGCTCTGACATCATCAGTTCCGGCCACTTGCCTCTTTCCCATCTGAAGGTGCACTTAGGTCCCTGCTTTTCTTTGTGCTTTGCCTCCTAGGTACCAGCACCACTTTGCCTGATTTTGAACTTTCTATAAACTTACAGTTGAAAAAAATTTACTCACATGAAACATGTTTCAAACAAACGTAAATGGGTTTTAATAATTAGCCTAGTGATCATTTAATTTAAAAGAAAGTATTTAAAATTAAATAAAATTAAACATTCAGCTCCTGAGATGCACGCATCACATTTTAAGCACTCAATAGCCACACGTAGCCACAACAGTGGTTATTGTACGGGAGAGTAACCTTGCTGTCACTTGGGAAGACACACAAAAGCCCCGAACTGTGCTGTTCTTGAGGACCACTGAGGACCACTAAGGCCATGTCACAAAATAAAAATAAGGTAAGAACCTTAGGTTTATTTCTTCAAGATAAGTGTAGCATCCCCTCTATAACTCCCATTTTTAGGAATTTGAGTCTTCTTGAGTTCCTATAGTCATAATTCTTAGTAAATACTTAATTTTTCAAACATATAATTTAGAGGGATCACTTATTTGCAAAACAGAGAAAGGTTCTTAAAAAAAAAAAATCTTCACTGTCTTGGATTCCAGTCCAGAAAGTCTTGAACACAGAGTGATTCTTCGTTCTCTCTCCCTTCTTTTTCTGAGTCGATCTAGCTAAAGTTTTGTCTGTTTTGTTGATCTGCTTGGCTCCTTTGATGCTTTCTGCTGATGAGGTGGTACCTGCTGACCCCTCCTGTTAACAAATTGCTGACGTTACTGGGTACTAGATAGCAAATAAATTTTATTCATCAAGTTTTGGGGTGGGAGAGAACATAAAAGGAGTCTAGAGTTCCATGTAGAAAGGTCAGTGGGCAAGAACTCAAGTCTCTAGAGTTGTGTAGATATTTGGAGCTTGTCTTCAGATTGCAGATTTAAGCAGACAATGCAGCATGACCTTCACTTCAGGCCAGCATTCTGGATCCTTGGTGATCTTTAATTCTACTCCACATGGGAGCTGGGTTACTTACAGAAATCACTCACAGCCCTAATGTAACATTTGTTTTCTTCCTATTAAAAAGATATTTGGGTGGTAATGGTGATGTTGCTGCTTCTGCTATTGTTTTTGGAGATGACTTTTGTTCTTTGGAAGTAACTTTGAAATAGTCACATGGTAAGGAACCTCCTGTGAGGTACAGAAGCGGTGCCAGAGTGACTGGACCAGGAAGCAGGAAGTCTGAAAACCCCACAGGTTACCTTCTAATCTAGTTCTGGAGACTCAAGGCTTTATTGACTTATTTTCCTACTAAGGCCAAAATACTTAGACCAAAAATAGGGCATTTATTGACTGAGCAAAAATTCATTGAGTTTGCATGGTGTTAATGATTTTTTAAAAATCAAACTAATTTAAAAAAACACACACAAAAAAACCCTCAGGCCCTGATTGTTTTGGCTGGCAATGATCTGTGGGCTAGGGGGTCTCTTGTTGTAGTCAATCTAGGCCTGACACACTGGTCTAGGTTTTGTTTGTTTGTTTTAAATTTGCTTGGGTTTGAGGGGTCGCAGGCCCAAGGGCCTGGTATTAATTTGTGTTTGAAATGAACATTCTTCTAAGTGGTACAGAACTGCTCTGTCAATTTACTGCACTGAGGAAACTTATATTGCTGTAGTACTGAAAGCTGTGCCACTGATGTCTCAAATGCCATAAGAGTTGTTGTTGTTGTTGTTGTTAAGTGCCTTTGAGTTGCAGGTGACTCATAGCGACCGTATGAAGGAGAGTCCTCAATGCTTGGGTGCCTTTAATCCTCTCGCCAGGTTCATAGGGTTTCCGGAGGCAAGCTACTATGGAAGTGGATGCCACTACTCCTTCCAAGCTTGTTTTAACCAGGGAACTCTCTGTCCTCATTGGGTAACCAGCCATTAACACATTTGACACATCAGTGTCACAGTGTTCAGCCTCATGGAAACCACAAGTGACCACTGTACAGCAACTTGTACACCAGGGCTATATGACCTAGAGAAATGTCTGAACAAAAACAATGAAAGACAGGCCCGAGGGCCGTGGATTAAAAGTCTCCTACCTTTGGCTTGGTGGCATCGCTTTCTGTTCACTGGGCCAGCTGATATCTCTTTATATGTTGATGTTATTGTTTTTAAGCCTTAAGAGTTACACATGGTTAACAGTGTTTGGTGGAGCTCCCAGATTAAGACAGGCTTAGAAGTAGTAGTGGCATCCACTTTCTAAACATGCCTCTGGAAACTCTATGAACTTAGAGAAATGACAATAGTTATAGAACAAGGTTAATATCTTTTGTTCATAGGGTCACTATAAGTTGTGTTTTGCTCAATAGCTCTTAATAACAACATGGTGTTGGGCATTATGTCAGTATCTAGAAACAGAAAAGTGCAGTTTAGTGTGTTGTTTTGTTTTGGTTTTTTTGTGTTTTGTTTTTTTTTTTAATGGCAATCTAGCACAATACAGTTTGTATAAAATGCTACACTTGGTGTAAGGAGACTTGGAAATGTTTTCCAAATATGATTTTGTTCTTTCACTCGCTCATTCAACAAAGACATATTGAGCACTGTGCTAGAAGGAAAACAACTCAGTAAGGTACATAATATTTCAAACTACCTTCACCAGGAAATCTTTTTCCCTATTTTCTGAGGAGGACATGCAGGTCCTTAGTGGAAAGGTGAGAGAGGCACAAGCAGAGAGACAGGAAGTGTGATGAAGAGAGGAACAGAGAGACAGGGAGGTGGTGAAGAGAGGAGCAGAGAGGCAGGGAGGTGGTGAAGAGAGGAGCAGAGAGGCAGGGAGGGGGTGAAGAGATGAGCAGAGGCCAGTTCTCAAGATATACTTCAAGACTCTTTGTTGATTTCAGAATCTTGGTCCCAAGAACCCAAAACCAAAGAAAAATTTAAAGCTGAATTTCTACACAAAGAAAAGTAACAACACAAATTCCTTCCTGAAACATGGGCAGAAGGCAATGCATTCATGTGAGGGAACATTCTTTGTTTAAACCTTGAGGGAGTGTCTAGCCATGGAAAGCCATCCCAAAGAAAGGTATTTTCAGCTCCACACCCAAACTATTCAGTTAC